TTCAATTTTTTTTTTTTTGCGACTTAAACCAAATCCACGAATTATAATCTCCACCACTAAAATAATCCCTCACACTCTATCTAACGGTCATAAATAATTCTCAACCAACTCCATATTTCTCACTAATTTCCATTCTCCTCTATTTAAAATTATCATTATAGAAAAAATAAAAAAAATATAGCTCTCTTACGCTTACCTACCAACAAACACTACTCTTATTTAAACCACCCTTCATTCATCTCATTTCCCTCAGGAACAACAAATCAAAATTCCTCTCAACAAACAAAATACTAAAACAGTCTCTCCTTTAGAGATCTCTTGCTATATAATCTCCTCTAGATCTTAATCATTTTCCTAAACTCGATACCAAAATGGAGATTAACGGAGCATCACACAATGTTGTTAACGGAGGAGTCGAGGCTACGTTATGCATCGGAGAGATCAAGAAAAACGTGACGGTGGTTGCTTCCTCAGATCCACTCAACTGGGGAGCTGCGGCGGAGCAAATGAAAGGGAGCCATTTGGATGAAGTGAAGAGAATGGTGGAGGAGTTTAGGAAACCAGTGGTGAATCTTGGAGGTGAGACTTTGACGATCGGACAAGTGGCAGCGATCTCGACCATGGGAAATGGTGTGAAGGTGGAGTTGTCGGAAACGGCAAGAGCTGGTGTGAAAGCGAGTAGTGATTGGGTAATGGAGAGTATGAACAAAGGTACTGATAGTTATGGTGTTACTACTGGTTTTGGTGCTACTTCTCATCGGAGAACCAAAAATGGTGTCGCACTACAAAAGGAGCTTATAAGGTATAATTCGTTTGTTATAATCATTTTTGTGTGTGTTTTAATTTGTTTCTCTAGTTCTCTAGGAAAAAAAGTAAAAATTAGTTTGTAGGTTTTAATTTTTTTTTATGGTTATTCAATCAATTAACCCAATTATGGATTATTTAATTTGCTTTTAAAAAGGTTGGTAATCTTAGGTGGATATTATTTGGTGTAGTATATCACTTCTTATACAG